AAGCTCTTTTGTTCGTTATTGGAAACTTTGACATGGTAAAATGTATTTTAAAAAGCTTCGATTCTCTTTAGACCATCAGCGCCTCCGAAAAATGCGCATTACTTCGAAAAGCGATTGAGCAGCACCAACGTTACACCAAAATGGCGGTTACCGGAAAAGGGTTTGACCGTCATCTTCTCGGCCTTCGGCTCATTGCTGCTAATTGCGGTGATCTTACGCCAAGTTTGTTCGCCGATCCAACATATGAAACCGCAAACCACTTCCTCCTCTCCACCAGCCAGGTATAAAGCGCGCTCCCCTCCCCTGTGTATTAGGCTATTCTGATTTAACTTTTTGACTTTTTTTTCGATGTAGATAACTGGTAAGGAAGATTTCGGTGTCAGCTTCGGACCCGCCGCTCCAGATGGATATGGATTTAACTACAACCTGCAAGGTCACCACATGAATCTAACGGCTAGCGCCTTCAAATCAAAAACTCCAGACAACTCTGCAAGGAATCTGCTTAACTGTCTTGCCGCTAGCCTTTTAGACATGCGAAAGCTTCTTGAGAGTGCAGCGGAGGTCGACATTAGCGAAAAGTGAGGTTTCAATGCTACTGTCAAGGAAATGCTAACTGGTGCTCAATTGCCTTCTTCGTACTTGCTCAGTCTTTTTATTAGGACCGCTACTCACGGTTTTTGGCAAAAACTGGCCCAATTTACTGACCCATACACTCTTTCTGGCCGCTGCACCATCCTTTTTTTCGCGCACAGTGTGCCTTTATAGCTTGACTTCCCTTGCTTATTGTGATTTTTATTAACATAATCCACTTTTTTACTTATCGGCTCTGTCTTCCATTTTAAAACCAACAAAACATTTCTTTTAACAGGCGTATTATTATAAAAGCTCTTGAATCTCCTAATACATGCGATACCTCGGCACTGTAGAGTTTAAGTAGTATTTATACTCAGAGCACTACAGTAATCACGTTTAGTTCCCTTTTGGAGGAGAGAATAGAAGACACCAGTAAAAGTTGTGTATTCAGTACATAATCTCAGTGGTTGTCAGAGGTTCCGATGCGCGGCAAGCTATGTAACTGTGCGAGCATCTGTCTAATTCGGGTACGAAAGATTAAAGGTCATGAGAGAATCAGCGTCTGCTTGATAAGTTGATTGGGTGATATCAGCTTGTGAGCATCTGAGATCAGCTACCCGAGAGGGTGCATGTGCGTAGTCCGTCAGCTCGAGCACTGTGACCTGTTTAAGGGCGCGGTAGCCAGTAGGATGTGCGCATTTTGTACAAAATACTGATTAGAGCCCTCGGCCGGAGGCCCATTGGTCCCCGGGTTCACGTGGACGAGGATGAATTATCAGTTTAGCCGTCGCGAACAATATTCACATTGTGCTCCACAACCTTGTGGTAGAAGGACTGTGGCTTGCCTATGAACTATAGTGATGACAAAGCATCCGATGAGAAGACACTGTCAGAAGGACTAGAGGCGGTTTCGATCGCATTTGCTGAAAAGAGTAAACAGCCCGTTCACGCATGTCACACATCACCGGGTTAATAAAGAAAAGCGGTGGCCAAGATCCCACGTGCGTTGGTGTGCCATACAAATGACATTAATTATAACCTATTATAGCTTGCATCTCCGCTCTGTGATCACCGAGTTACCCCGTCATTTGGCGACCTTCCAAGCCACTACTTTCGGGACGTCGTTAGTATCTCGCTCGTGTCTTGTTCGCAAAAGTGAGGAATATGCATGGAGTGCCGTGGGGACGCAGACCCCAAAATCGGTCTCACTCCATCCTTCCTCTCCCACGCAGCAGAAGACTGGCAAAGCTGGCCAGAATTTAATACAGGGACTGTGCAGAAGCGGTTGACGCCGCCTGATTCAGCATAACATCATGCATCTAGACTCACCATTGGGGTATTTTTCATGGGTGCGCAGCCTAAACAACGTGTGCCGGGCCTTCATCTAGCCTCTATAATGGTCCAACGCATTTACTCTGGTACGTTGTGAAGACACATGCTATGGAAGAAAGACGAGTAAACTCTCCCTCCGAACATTTTCAAACCTACAACGGTCACAGGTATGCATTAGGCCAACGAGGAGACAGTAGTATTCTAGAATTGTCGGAGGTGTCATGTGGTAGTGTTTTGATTGTGTTACCAGACGGA